TGTGTTCCATCCAAGATACAAATTGCTCGCTGCCAATGACAAGAGGTCCGCTACTGTATCTGCTGGCTTCTTGGTCACAAGTGCAGTGGAACACCAGTGAAGAGCATGCGGGCTTGTCAGGGTCAGACAGGAAGGCACTCCCACAGACTCCCAACACCTGCCTGACACGTGGTTCTCAAGGCCACAGTTGCTTATACATCAAATGGGGCTAGGAGCACCCACGTCAAGGGTTTGTTGAGGTTAGAAGGACTGTAGGAAAAGTATAGGCCAGCATTGCTCGGTCTGTACATCTGTAGCAGCAGCTTTATGCAGGAGCAGATCCTTCAGATTTTCCTCCACCCTTCACTTCAGAGACCTGCCCAAGGCAGAGTTGCTGATGGACATGATGTTGGTTGACTCAGACTTGGGGAGAAAAACCTATTGATAGGGTTCAGATAACAACTTATAAGGTATGAATAACATGGAATTTAGATAATTAGTACACTTATGGAGATGTTTGTAAAGAGGGAACTGGGGGCCATGGTACCCAGCTGACACACCTAGAAATACCAGAAGTAGCCTCCTCAGGGCTGGGGCTGCCAAATACACGTTCTTTTGGGAGGCTCACCACCACCCCAACAGCCCAAGAACACAGGCCCCACCTGCCAGATCTGGGCCCCTGAATGGCTGGTTTCTTCCATCCCCTCAATTTCTTCTACCTCCTAACATTTGATGATGGTGATAGGTATTATTTCGTATTTTTATTATAACATGAAACTGCATTCACCGATTCCAGGTCTGATTCATTGGCTGCTTATTTGGCATTTTGGCCTGCTTACTACCTAAAAAAAAAAAAAGAAAGAAAGAAAAAGCAGAAATATGCATTAATGGAATTCTGTAAGATTAGGAAGCTATGTCCAGCATGTTTATCAGGGACTTGGGTGGACCATGGAAGCTGCAAAGCTGAGCAAAGTGGCTTGTAGACGGGTGACAGGATCAGGATTCAAACCGATCTCAATAGGCCAGTACTCTGGGCCAAAACCAACAAGAGGAAATTCAGTAGTGATTAATGTTAAGTCTCACATAAGTAAAAATGGGAGAGAGCGGGCTCTACTGTTGCTGCTTTGAAAAAGATGGTATTTTGAAGAATAATGGCTTGCACTTATTGAGACATCCACTTATTACATTTAGTGAGGTGAGGTGTGATCTGTTATATATGTATCATTTTGTTTAAATACTGCTGAAGTGAAGATTATCATCTCCATTTTATAGATGAGTTTTAGAAAGGTTAAGAAACATATCCAGGGTCACACAGCTTTTAACCATTTTGTGATATGGCCTCCGTGATGGTATCCAAGAGATGGTGTGCGTAAAAAGGAAAGAAGGAAGGAAAGAGGGAGGGAGGGAGAGAGGAAGGAAGCAAGGAAGGAGGGAGGGAGAGAAGGAAGGAGGGAGGAAGGAGGGAGAAGGAAACTCAGATTTTATCAGAAGAAATCTGGAGCATGATCTGTGTTCTTCTCTGATACAGTGTCATTCTGGCCACTACAGTTTAAGATTAAACATGTGCAAACTTAAGCGTGTGCAGAGTAAATATTCGTGGAAGAGCTGGGACGGTTGAAGGCAACAGACTATTTGAGAAAGCTAGGATAGGGCTCTGGTTCCGTCCGCAGAAGCTGATGGAGACTGGAGGTCCCCTGCACTGGGAGGAGGTCTAGTCCAGGAAGGAGACGCTGTGTCAGTGTAAAGAAGGATGCACAAATGTGCAGGTGCAGAAGCGACTCTGGTGGTGCTTTATTCTGGCACCATGGAGCTTTTTTTCTGAATGTTTGTGCTGTTTTCACACTGCTGGCAGAAGAGGGGAGAGGTGAGACAAATTGGGAGTATTATTGCTGCTCTTTGAGTAAAGAAGCATGTATAAGAAGGGCAGGAAGACCAGCTGGCAGAAAGCATCAGTGGGGTTTCAAAGCAAAATCTCTTCTTCATCTTCACGGCCAAGGACAAGAGAAAAACTCAAGGATCCCTCTTGAGATATGATTTTTCCCTGTTTTCTTAGGGGGGGAAATATCTCACTGACCCAACCAGAGAAACCAAATGCCTGCATTTATAACATGCCTATTTTAGTTATTTTAGAATCAAGATTTTTTTTTTTTTGTAAGTAAAGGTGGAGAAGTTATGGAAAGAAACCTGACTCTAACTATAAACTGAACAGATGGGATAGTGGGAATAAAAACAAATTAAAACAATATTGCAAAGAACTCTCAACTTTCATTTAAAAATATATATGATGATGTTTTTCAACTTTTCACATTCAACCTATCGGTAGATCGAGTGACAAAATGAAAACTAAATTTCAGCTGTGTATATTTTAAACGTTTACCTAAATGATTTGGACTTACCAACCTAAAAGTCCAGATGAATGTATTAAATGGCTATTTTTGTTCTTTTATGAATTAAAACTTTATTTTATGGGATAGACAGGACACAGTTCCATTTGGTGACGTTTAGTGTAGAAAATTGAACTGAACAGTGATCTAATTAGAACAGTAAATAGTATGGATTTAATTAGTCCTTATTCCTGATGACAGATTTGATCGGTTGCCAGATATTTATCCTTTCCTTTCGCTCGACTGTTACTGAACTATTGCCTCAAGCAGGGCCAAGCACTGTGCTATAAATAGGTAGCTTGGCAAGAAGCCATGAAGCCCACTGACCGGTGAGTCTTGGGTGGAAATTATTGGAAAACCCCTCCTTGGTTCATTATTTCGTTTCACTATTGAAAGTCCTTTCTACAGATACCCATCTTAATCTAAAAAAACTTTTTTTTTGGTTGGATGAGGTAATGTGGTCTAAGGGCTTAAGGCAGCCCATGTAATATCTAGTTCAGCTGCTCAATGTGGTTTTATTAGTATTAGGGTTTCCTTCATAAACGTTTCTGTTCTCCCACTTACAGCTTCCCTGTGAAATTCTCTCTGGCTTCAGCTATTCTGTGTGTCACTAGGATGTGGCCTTCGTTTGCTTGCCTGCAAACATTTACTTCAAATATTAAAGTTTTCACTTAAAATTTTTTTTTCAAAATGCAGAGAAGCAAAAACAGAAGATAAAATCACTCAAAGTTCTCGCACCTGGAAGTTGCCATGGCGAACATTTTAAATTAACTCACTCCTTTCTCAGAGCATGTACACAGTTACCTGTATGAAAAGTGACACAGACTTATCCTGTGCTCTAAGGATTGACTTTTATCCCCTCTTTCAGAAAAAAATTTTTGGAGAAAGATATTTTTTTAAAACATGCAAGTTTGGATGAAACTAACATCCATTATAGCACCACCTGGCTTCATCAGGTGTAATGTTTTGTCATATTGGCTTCAAATCTTTTATGAGGGTATCGAGGCTATAAGATATTCAGTTGGCACTCCCTTCTGTGCCTTTTGAGGATAATGTTTGCTCCTAGCTCTATATCTTTCACTCTCAGAGGCATGTTGCTCCTTCCAGCCCATATACTTGTCCTTGTGGTATGCATTTTGTATGTACACTGCATCTTTATTTAAAGGGTGAAGAGTTAGAAAATGCCTTATGTGTTTTTATTTTACTGGAAATTTTCCAGTCTTTTCTTTTTCTTTTTTTCTACCTTTGTTGACCTATCTAGGACAGTCTTGCCTATGTTGAATCTGTAAAGACTATGAATCTATACTTTTTCTACCATTTTATGGTTTCAGTGCTTTTGATAAAAAGCTCTAATATATCTGGAAATTATTTTGGTGTCTTTTGGGAATAAGTCATCTATGTTTTTTTAAAAAATTGAGTAATTAATTTCAGAGAGTGGGGGAGGAGCAGAGAGAGATTCTCAAGCAGACTCCACACTGAGTTTAGAGCCAAACTTGTGGCTCAATCTCATGACCCTGAGATCGTGACTTGACCCAAAACCAGGAGTTGGATGCTTAACTGACTGAGCCAGCCAGGCACCCTGCTTTTTGTTTTGTTTTAAAAGACATTCATCACACTGACTCATAGCTCCATCCTACCTCCTTATACTGGGATCTGTTTCTGGACTCTCTCTCTCTTTTTTTTAATTTAGTAGATTTTCACTGCTTATCAATATGCCAGCACTCTACTCTTAATTGAGGCAATTTCCCTCCAATTTCCCTTCTTTTACAGTTTTTTCTTGGCTCTTATAGACTTTTACTCCACCAAATGAACTTTGGAATCATTTTGTTGGGTTACAAAAAAATTCCCTTGGAGATTTTGATTGGAGTTGTTATAAATTTATGGATTAATTTGGAAAGAATTAACATGTTATGGTATCAAGTTCTACCCATTTAGGACTATGGTATATTTCTCCATTTATTCAGCAGAGCCTACTGTAGGCCACTTAGTGAAGTTTGTAACTTTATGTAAGTAATACACATCATTTCTTCTCCATCTACATCTGTCTATATATTTTTAACTTACACATGTCCTCCTCTTTCCTCCAGAGTATCCCAACATAGTCAATGGTGGCCATTCCAGAAGATCCTGGTGGATCCCCAAGGCTTTTGTTATTTTTTTGGCAGAGGGATGGAGCCCTTTTCAGGGGATTTCACAAATACTCCTGCAAAATGATTTCCTTGGAGCTAGCGCTCATCTGTCTAGTGGAAGGTCAAGCCAGGATTTCATTTCAGGTGCAAGAATGTCTTAGGTAGAGGCTGGGACCCTGCATGTAGGTTATAAAACATAACTTAGTCTATTTAAATTTTGGAAGGATAAAATTCCAGATTTAAAACTGAGCTTAGAAGCTGCCTCGACAAAGCCTTCATAAGGTAAAAAGGTACTCATGTGACACTAGTTTCCATATAAAACTATCGTGTGTGTGTGTATGTGTGTGTGTGTGTGTGTGTGTTTAACATAGCCATTCCAAAGCAAAGCATCATTAGGCCACTTTGTCCTCTGGGAACCGCTTAGAATAAGACTCTGGAAAAAGCAAGGAAGCTTTGGGATAGTTCTAGCATATTTGTCTATAATTTATTGTGTTTTTTCACATTCTAGACCTCAAGAAACACTCATTCGGATGAAGACAAAGACAGCAACTGGGATGCTTGGGGCAGCTGGAGTGACTGCTCTAGGACTTGCGGGGGAGGAGCATCATACTCTCTGAGGAGGTGCTTGACTGGGAGGTCAGTGATGCTTTCATCTGCTCTTTTCCATGGATTGGCAGTGCCTTTGAAGGATTGCACTGGGGTGACAGTTTGGCTTCTTGGCTTCAGAAGGCACTAGGATGGTGATAAGACATCTATCTATAAATATTAGTCATCCTCCAGTATCATAAATAGTAATGGCCCCATTTTCATGACTGTGGCCATAGTCCATCCACATGAGACTCCCAGCTCAAAGGAGCCTGGGGGCACTAGACACTTAAAGCTTTTCAGGAGGGAAGGCCAGCATGTTAACTCACTTGCCCCAAACTGTCAAGACTAGGAAGAATGGCTCAGGTCTTCTGGGTTCTACCCTTGAGTTATTTCAATTTTAGTTCATTTCTTGTTCACTTTCTCTGAGCAACCCATCAGCTAAGAAGGTAATTCAAGTTCTTTTTTCATTATATTTAATATAAACATACCTAAGGGTATGTTTATAATTCTCAATACCTTGAGGTATTAATAACATGTTAAAATGTAAGATTGGCTTCTTTAAAAAATCCTAAGTTTGTAAGAAGCTCACACGCATCATTGCTTTTGGGACAATTTGAAGTAATCCTTCATAGGGTGGTTTAAATCCTAGCCAAGGGGATCCCTGGGTGGTGCAGCAGTTTGGCGCCTGCCTTTGGCCCAGGGTGCGATCCTGGAGACCCGGGATCGAATCCCACATCAGGCTCCCGGTGCATGGAGCCTGCTTCTCCCTCTGCCTGTGTCTCTGCCTCTCTCTCTCTCTCTCTCTCTCGCTCTCTCTCTCTTTCTCTCTCTCTGTGACTATCATAATAAATAAAAATTAAAAAAAAATAAATCCTAGCCAAGATTTACCTCGACTGTCAGGTAAGACAGAGCCCCAGGTTGATGGAACCTGATGTCCTGGTTCTGGACTAAACGAAGGTTCTAGGGTCACGGCAGCTGTCTTCATATTTGGGATATTATAAAGCAGAAGGGTAAGTTGATTCTCCCTGGTGATGTCAAGGTGTATGTAGATCAGAAATGCAGGGAGAAGATATTTTGTCTGGCTCACATTATATGGGATATTAAAGCTGTAGGAAAGCAGGGGAAGGTCATGGGAGGCACTGTTGATGTCATTACCCCAGGCTGAGTTCCAACTCAGAACACTGGGCTCTAAGTGAATGGTTGCAGAACTGAATCCAGGGATTAGTCTTGCATAGACACCCTTGTATACCTTCTCCTGTGCTGTTACCTTGAGGAGGAACGAAGGCCCTGTGACTCTAAGTGCATCATGCTGTGTGGAAAGATACCAGGATATTATGCTGCACTGGCATATATTGATTCCAGTAAGGCCTACGGTAGGAGGGCTGTGTGCCTGTGGGCAAGGGCCAGGGAGGGACTTCTCATGTGTGGAATAAGATTTTTCCCACTGCTGTTCAGTCACTTGGGGGAGAAGTTTCTAGCATAGAGTCTGGTGTGTGGAAGGTATGACTCTTCACCACTCTGTGGCCTCCAGATCTGAGGGGTCTGAATAATTTGCAATCATTGGGGTGTTTGGTTGGAAAAGGAGTGGGGTTTATTTGTGTTTGTTTTAACAGTATGTACTTGAATTTGTTAAAAAGAATTGGAGGAATATATTAAAGACCATGAATGACCACTTTCATCATTTTGTCATACAACCAAAATGCTTACATATTTATTGGTTATTTTATTAATTAAAAATGACTTTGATTTTGTCTGGAATATAATTTTGGTGAGGGATCTATTTCAGTGTGTGTGTGAATTTGCATATTCTCCCTCCAAACAGGGGTCAGCTGATCATTAAACACTTCAGATAAGGAAGGGAAGTTGCTAAGCTTCTTCTGTCTTTTCTGCACCTATTCAGGAAGAGCAGTTTGGGCATAAGTAGAGCAACAGGGGGAGTGAGTACATATCGGTGCTCTGTGGTTTGACAGATATTTAAAGCTGGGTCCTTCTGTTATGAACACTTTGATGGTTTTCTCTGAGACTCTGTTTTCTCTTTTCTCCCAGTCCCTTGGCATGTCTTGCTAACAGCACCCTTGAGATGTGCTGTTCACAATCCTATCTTAGTACGATCGCTCTTTCCTCAGCTCTTGGACAATGAGGCACACTCCAAATGTCCCTCTGTTGATGTCTACCCACCCCTCTGTGGCCATCTTGGTAGGTTCCTAAGACAGCGTGTTGCCTGTCTTGCATGTGGCCCACCTTTGGCTCACCAGAGACCCGCCTATGAACTTTGCTAAAAGAACTCGAAGTTCTGGGATTTAGTGCAGCAATACCTGCTCCTCATACACAGGCCTACAGTGAATCTCTCTGCCCTTATATTTCTCAGGTATGAATTAGCCACCAACCAACTGCAGGACACACAGATTGAATTCTTTAAGTGGGGTCGCTAAAATTTCATCCCCCTGATTTGGGGTTAGCAGATTGAAGCCTTCATTCTTTTTTTTTCTTGGTGTGGCAGAATGAAAAGTAGGATTATAGCACAAATTTCTCAAAGAAATCTTCAGAAATCCTTCCTCTATGTAATCCTCCATTGAGGTGTCTTTCTTACCAGACCCTTTAAAAAATCTATCTATCTTTCTATCTATCTATCCATCCTCCACTATAGTTAACATAGTGTTATATTGGTTTCAGGTGTACAGTGTAGTGATTCAGCAATTCTGTACATTACTTGGTGTTTACCATGATGTACTCTTAATATCCTTCCCTCATGCCCTCTCCCACCTCCTTTCTGGTGACCATCAGTTTGTTCTCTATACTTAAGAGTCTGTTTTTTGGTTTGTTATTTGTTTTCTTTGTTTTTTCTTTTAAATGGTATTTGTCTTTCCCCGACTAATTTTTTTCACTTAGCATTATACTCTCTAGATCCATCCATGTTATCGCAATACCAGGATTTCATTCTTTTTTTATGGCTGAGTAGTACTCCATTGTGTACACATCTTCTTTATTCACCTATTGATGGATGCATGGGCTGCTTCCATAATTTGGTTATTATAAATAATACTGCAATAAATATAGAGGTGCATATATCTTTTTAAATTAGTGTTTTTATTTTCTTCAGGTAAATACCCAGGATGGAATTACTGGATCTTTTGGCAGTTCTATTTTAATAAAAAAAAATCTTCATACTGTTTTCCACAGTGGCTACCAGTTTGGATTCCTGCCAAAGTGCATGAGGGTTCCTTTTTTCCACATCCTTGCCAACACTTGCTTTTTTTGTGTTTTTAATTTTAGCCATTCTGACAGGTGTGACATTGTGGTTTTGATTTGTATTTCCTTGATGATGGGTGGTATTGGGTATCTTTAATGTGTCTGTTTGCCATTTGAGGTCTTCTTTGGAGAAACGTCTGGATTGGATTACTTGGGAGTTTTTTGGTGTTGAGTTGTATAAGTTCTTTATATATTTTGGATGCTAACCCCTTTATTAGATATGTCAGTTGCAAATATCTTCTCACCAGGCCCTTTTTATGCCTTAACATATGCAAAGAGTTTAACAGTTGTGAATTAGACTAGCACAGAGGCTGCCCTCATATTTCTTATAGTTAAGGGAGTGGGAGCAGCATGTGTAAAAGTGCTGGAGCAGGAAATGAATATTCTTGGAGAACAGCAGACAAGGAAGAAAACAGAATGGGCCAATATTGAAGAATAAGGTAGATTTGTAGGCCAGGGTAAAGAATCTGGTTCTCAGACTTAAATTTCAAACACTAGTAAAAATTTTTTAGAAAGCATATTTGGAGTTAATATAGGTTGTCAATTTTTTATTTAGTCAATTAAGGACTAAAAAATTGAACAAGCAAAACTCACCTGTGGCCTATTATCACAGACTCTTTAAAAAAGAATTAGAATCATAATATTTTTGTTTTAACATCTAAAAGTAGGACATACTCTTAGATTTATAAACTTGCCTTTAAATTGAATTCATTTAGCTTTATAAAAATCCACTGTTTTCCTCTTGTCTCACTTTGCTTTGGGTTAATAAAAACTATTGCACATATTAACAGCTCAGTGATGGGCAACTGGGAACCAGAAATTGTAAACATAGTCATTGACTCAGAACTTGAGATTCTAAGATCCTTGAAGGAAGCAATATGTAGAAAAGTGATTTTATCTGAGATATACTTTTCATCCAGGAATTCCCTGATTCATAAGCTGTGAGAGGCAGAGAAGCCAAGCAGAAAGCAGTTACAAAGAGGTTGAGAAGATAAGCAGATTTATTGACAGTCTCAGGGTCCTGGAACATAAAAATTGGGTTCAAGGCCCCAGTAGACACTTGAGGTGATAAATTGGTATTCCCGAAGGACTATACCCTAAGAGAAAGAAAAAAAAAACAGTCTTAAATAGACTAGATGTTATTAAGACTGAAATCCGGCTTTGAATAGGCTCAGTCCTAATTTGAGTGATGAAATGTGTTGTGATTCCAACTACTTCCAAGAAGCTTTTAAAAAACCCTAAAATACCCTGGAGGAAGAAGACATCAACCAGCGATTATACACATTTTCATAGATCATGCCCATAATTTAATAAAACATTATCAGTCTTACCATGAGACCAGATCAAGAGGTAAAACAGACAATAGAAACAGGTACTGGAGCTGTTAGATCTCTGTGTTAAAAAACAACAACAAAACAAAAACTCTGTAATAAATATGTTTATAAGAATAGATGACAAAATACAGGATTTTACCGGAGAGCTGGAATCCATAAAATAGAATCAAATGGAAATTTGAGAACAGAAACATATAACTAAAATTTTGAACTAAATTGAAGAGAGTATAGGTTTATAGAACTACCCTGGCTAAATTATAGAGGAGGAAAAAAGGGAATAGAATAAAGGATATATGGTATAAGGTGAAAAAGTCTAAAGCATGGGCAATTAGAATCCTAAAAAGGAAAGAGATAAAGAATAGAGTAAAAGCACTATTTGAGAGATAGTGGCCAAGAATTTCTTAGAGCTTCTAAAAATTACTGCTATGAGATATTAAGCCACAAAAGTTAAGAAGCTCTGCAAAC